CGTAGCTTCGACAGCTGTCATTTGATCTTTAGATATCGATGGATGCAGTCACCTTTTCAGCGAGCTGATGGAATAGTTTGCATGATACATACTTTATAGTTACTGTACATTGTTTTTGCAGCTTTTCCATCTCTTGCAATTAACATTGGTGATATGGATCCAAAAAAACCCACTAGTTCCCTTTTGGGGAAGAGAAAAAGAGAATCAGAGACAGCAGCTTTGAATGCCATTGAAAAAGCCCCTGGCACTTCATCTAATTCTAGCTCAGTTGGAGCTCCAGTTGCAGCTCCAGTTGGAGCAAACTCTGGCATTGTACCTGGACAATCAGCCAGTACAAACTTGGCCAGCAGTTCCACTACAGGTCCAATTACCACCTCTTCTGCTGAAGACCAGACTAGCAGTAATAAATCTCAAAGAATTGATAAAGATAATAAGACCAGTTCCACAGTCCCTTATATCATATCATGGTCCCCAGTATCACAACAAAAAGCCACAGCGCAAAAGGTGAAAAGAAAATATAAAAAGATAAAAAGACGCACTCGGCACAAGCAAAGCATTGCTAGGACCCAGGAGCAAGGGGCTCAAAGTACCAGCTCCACAGTGAGAAAAAGAACTGCTTCTTCTTCCAGTGACGATGAGCCAACAAATAAGAAAAAACATAGAGGCATAGAGAAAAAGGCTATAAAGAAGCGTAGAAAGAGAAGCAAAAAAACTAAAAAACCTACAAGGCATAGGAAAATCTCACAGCCCAGTACATCTACTCAGCAACAGTCTGATTTAGAAGCGTTACTGGATGCGTTTGCCAAAGCTTTTGTAATATCTACAAGTGCAGCAAATACTAGTGTTGTCACTAGTCAAACATCTGCCCCACCAACAATGACTGTAGCCAAAGATACTAACGCTATACCAAGTACTAGCAGTGCAGCAAACACTAGTGTTGTCACTAGTCAAACATCTGCCCCACCAACAATAATTGTAGCCAAAGATACTAACGCTATACCAAGTACTAGCTCTTTGGTGATGAAGAAAGGTGGATTTGAACAGCACAATGCAAATAACACTGGGAACGTTGGTGGAATTTCATTACCAGCAACTGGTAACACAATGATGCCTAATATTATTTATTCCATGGCACAAAACGGCAATTCTACACAACAACAATATAATTTTATGCAATTTAATCAGTGGAATCTTCAAAATAATGTCATGTTCCCTCAGAATCCCTCTACTACAACCAGGGGAATATTTGAACACATAACTTTAAGTGACATGCAACGTGCCACTCGTGCACATCAGCAGCAGGTGGCTCTACAGAAGCAAAT